GGGGACCCCAGGCAAGCAGGGCGGCATGTGAAGGAGCTGCCTCGCTGCAGCATTCAGCTGGCAGCAGGGGTGCAGGAGGCTTGCAGGCTTGGTGCTGCTGAAAGTCCAACTTTCCCGTTAAATATAAACCTGCCACAGCTCTCACCCAGTTAACTGCTCCTGTGGCCGTGGCAAGCCCATATCTGACGGGCAAGTGAGGCAGGATCCTCCCGAGCCGCCTTCTCCCCCTGCCCAGACCCGCGCTGACATGGCCACCATCCCCCTCGGCTTCAACATTGACACCCCACGCTGGGACCAGAGCACCTTTGTGGGGCGCCTGCAGCACTTCCGACCCGCGGACGGTGCTGGTACCGGAGGGGGAGCTGGACCGGGCCAAGGCCCTGGTGGAAAGCTGCAGGTGAGGGACCGGGGTGCAGCCGGGGCAGGTACCCGGCCACCCTGTGGGGCTGCGGGGACAGGGAGGCAGTCATTCCCCAGTGGGCACACTGGGATGTAACATCTGTCAGAGGCGGTTTTTGGGGAGTTTCCCAGGCTTCTCCCAGGAGCCTCAAGCTGGAACAAGTTGCCCTCGCAGGATGCGTTTCCTCCACCTTTCATGTTTGGCACCTGGGGCTCTGTTCCCCAGCGGGGCCAGGTGCTGGCGGGTCTGCACGGCACCCCCCGACGGGCTCTGGGCTTTGCAGGGCCGGGCTGGTGCCGCCAGGAAGCAGCCAGGAGCAGCTGCTCTATGCCAAGAAGCTGTATGACTCGGCCTTCCACCCCGACAGTGGAGAGAAAATGAACCTCATCGGGAGGATGTCCTTCCAGGTGCCGGGGGGCATGGCCCTCACTGGCTGCATGCTCCAGTTCTACCGGTGAGCCCCTGGGGATGCTGGGCTGGGGACACAGCTGTGACAGCCCCCAGTCCCTTGAGGGGTCCCCAGCCGCTGGGGCACTGCCAGTCTGTCTCCTCCAGGGCTGGCCACTGCCCAAGGCATTCCCATGGCTGCTGCACCTGCCTCTGTCCTGTGGCCAAGTCCTGTGTCCCTGTGCCCTGTTCCCGGCGCCCAGCCTGTGGTGGAAGCATCATGGATCCTCCCAGCCCCCAGCATGGCTGGGGATGGTCTCGCTTCACCCCAAGCTCACCTCAGCTCTTCTTGGAGGCCCTGTAATGATTAACGTGGCCAAGTCCTGTGTGGCCGCTGCTCTTGCCCCATGGACCATAACAGCCCCTGAAACCAAGGCCATGTTGATAGCCCCCTGCATTTCCCTTCTGAAGTGGGAGGGTGTGTGATCCTGTCCCTGGCACAGAGGACATGTGGGACAGACACTGCCTTTCCCAGTGGATCCCCATCCCATCCCACCCCTGTTTGCTGGACTGGTTTGCCAGTTGCTGGTGAGGTCCAGCCTGGGTAGGGTATCTCCCAGTGCCAATGGGTCACCGTGTTCCCAGCCCATCTCCACCCACCTGCATCCCAAAGCTTGCTCAGACCCACATCTCCCCATGTCCCCTCCTGTCCCACGTCAGTGTCCCTGAGACATCAGGAGGAGCCCAGGCACCTTGGTCACCCCCCAGAGCCACCTCTGTCCCTGTGTCCCCCTCCTTGCTGCTCCCATAGACAAAGGCTTATTTCAGCCTGGCAGGATGGCTGCCGCCCTGCTGAGAGCTGCATCTCCCACCCTGGCTGAGCACCCCGCAGGGCTGGGCCCCCTCCTGTGCTCCCCAAAGCCCTGCAGCAGCCAGGACTCCTAGGGTCATTTCACAGCTCTGCCGCTGGCTTGTGGCTTTGCCACAGTGCCTCAGTTTCCCTTGGGAGTCACCATGACAAGTGTATTGAGGGCATCTTGGCTGTCCCCCCAGCAAGCCTGGCCATGGGCACAGGCCAGGTGTCCCTGATGGCCATCGGACTCTCTCTTGGTCCCTTGCCTCCACAGAACGGTGCCCGCAGTGGTTTTCTGGCAGTGGGTGAACCAGTCCTTCAATGCCATCGTCAACTACACCAACCGCAATGCCGCCTCCCCCATCTCGCTGAGGTGAGCATGCCCTGATACAGGATGGGGACCCTCTGTATTGGGACCCCCCCCGGATACCCCATAAAGATCCCCCCATGCCCCATCTTGGGCACCAAAGGAACAGGACTGAGGCAGAGTTGGTGTTTCTGTTCTCTCCCTTCTTTGGAAATCACTGTCCAGGCAAATCGGGGTGGCTTACGTCACGGCCACCAGTACAGCCCTGGCCACCGCAGTGGGACTCAACCTCTATACCAAGGTATGCCGAGTTGGGGCCAGGTGGGGCAGCTGGCCGCATCCTGCCCTCCTGTGTTGATGCCAGCCTGTCTCCTGCAGCGAGCCCCCCCCTTGCTGGCCCGCTGGGTCCCCTTCGCAGCCGTGGCTGCTGCCAACTGTGTCAATATCCCCATGATGCGGCAACAGTAAGTGCCACGTGCGGCCGGGGTGCTCGAGGGACCCGGCTACTTCCGAAGGCTGCCTGGTCACCCTGCTGTGGTTTCTCCTCCCGGGGGGCGGAGGGGGTGGGAGGACAGGAGGGAGGTGAGCCGGGGTCTGTTCGTTCACGGTGCCGGGTCTCTGGTGGAGGGTGCCAGGTGGGGTGGTTCAGCCTCTGCCCAGAGCAGGAGGACGATTTGGGCTAAGGATAGCCAGTCTGGGCTGGAAGATCCCTCAGACCCAAAGGTCTTCTGCATGTGGTCATGGGAGAGCCCCAGTCCATGACGTTCTGGTGCTGGGACCCCCTAGATGGGGTCCCTGTGGAGACCTGTGTCTGCTGCTTGGGGTGCCCCACAGGTCACAGCATGAGGAGCTGGGGTGCTGTGTGGGGGACTGTCCGCTGGCTTGGTTGTGGGTCCCAGGCAGGCGTCTGTCCCCCCCACAGCAAAAGCCATGCCCTGAAGATGGCAGCATCGGCTGAGCTGGGGACTGCGGCACCCCAGGGCGATGGAGCCCTGGGGCCAGGGCTGGGGCAGCCAGGGCTGCTGTGCCAGTACAGCACAGGGAACCCCCTTGGCACCCCCTCACCCCATTGCTGTGTCCTCATGCTTCCCTGACCATCCTGGCCCCCACTGATGGCTGCCTGTCCCTTCCAGGGAGATCATCAACGGGGTCACAGTGACAGACAAGGACAACAACGAGCTTGGCCACTCCAGGGTGAGTCTGGGGATGGGGGTCTGGGTTGGGGCACAGCGTGGTGGGGGCTCACCTGCTGCTTTTGCTTGCAGAGGGCGGCAGCGAAGGGCATCACACAGGTTGTGGTCTCCAGGATCACCATGGCGGCACCAGGCATGAGTGAGTGCAGGGCAGGAGGGTGGGGACTGGACCAGGGGCTCCCCCAGGACCCACTGCCTTGCCTTCCCTTGCGTCAGTTTTCCCCAGAAAGAAGGGGGATGGTGGCCCTGCATCCCAGGTGGCATTTGGTCTCACCTCAGTGATGGAACTGGTGTACCCATCCCACCATTCCCATCAGAGTCCTCTGAGCCCCCAGCCCTCTTCATCCCAACCTGTGGGGAATGTGGAGTGCTCCCACGGCAATTGGGCCCCACAAAGACACTTCTCATGCTCTCTGTCCCTGGCCCCTTGCCCCTCAGCCTGGCATCGCCTCACCCTCGTGAGCCCCTTGCTCTGCCGCAAGCCTGGCAGGAGGGATGGGAGCACGAGGAGCATGGGCCATGTTGCCCGGGTGATGGATGGATGGGACCATGCCAGGTCCCTGCCGTGAGGAAACACACAGTGGCCCTCAGCACAACTAGCCACTGCCATGGCCTCTGGGAAGACAGTCCTGCTGGGTCAGCCCTGCGTGCTGGCTTGCAGGAGGGCCCTGACCTTTTCTCTCTGCACCTAGTTATTTTGCCCATCATCATGGAGCGACTGGAGAAATTCCCCTTCATGCAGGTGAGCCCACATTTCTCCTGCCACAATTTTCCAGTGGGTCCTGTGGTGTCCTAGTCCTGCTTCCCAGCTGCTAAGATGCTGGGGATGAAATGGGGGGGTTGCGGAGCCCAGCTTGCTTTGTCCCCTATTTGAGTCACAGGAACACCAGAGGTCCCTCGGGTGACATGGAGAGGCTGTCAGAGGGTGGCAGGGGTTGGTGGCACCCTGGAGGTGTTTGGCATTCAGCCCCATTGAGGGGAGAAGTCTCCCCACCCTGTGAGCAGGGCTTGCAGTGAGGCTGGGACTCACTCCTGGCTCTTCCCTTGCAGCGGATCCGGGTTCTCCACGGGCCTCTGCAGGTGCTGCTCTGCGGGGGCTTGTAAGTATTTTGCTGCTCAAATACCTGAGGGTGCCTGGAGCATGGCTCTGAGGGATGCTTGAAGAAAGACCTCTTACCCAGCAGGGGATTGCAAAGCTGCTTGCCTTTCAGCCTGGGCTTCCCCCAGTTATTGGGAGTTGTGGGATGTGAACAGCACCTCTTGGGCTGAGATCCCTGTGGCTGGGGGGCAAATGGGCTGTGATCCCCAACGCTAACGCTCGGCTCTTCTCTGTCCCACAGCCTCCTGTTCATGGTGCCAGCAGCCTGCGCCCTGTTCCCGCAGAGATGGTACCTGTCCCACTGCTTCCCCCTCCTGTGTGAGACCTCGGGAGCCTTCCTCCTCCTCTAGCTCTTCTCTGCCCATCCCAGGAGAAGCATGATGGGCACCCACCCTTTAACCCGAGGCAGCGCTGGTACCCCAGGCAGCAGGAGAGTGTGTGCCTCCCCTGCCCTGCGAGCTCTGTGCTGGGAGCAATGGGACCCCCAGCCCCATGGGCAGCTCTTTGCCCCCCCAGCACTGGGAGCAGTGGATGCCAGGGATGGATGGTGGGTCTTTATGTGAGCCTGCAAGATCCCAGGGACTGCAGGAGACCTCAAATGGCAATGGGGAGGGAGAGCAGCCTGACTAGTGGTCATGGAGGAGGATCGTGGGTCTCATTGTCTATCCCCTCTCCCCACAGCTCCCTTGCGCTGGCTGACCTTGAGCCGGAGCTGCGTGAGAGCATCGTGGCCAAGCACGGGGACAAAGTGCCGTACGTCTATTTTAACAAGGGACTGTGAGCGCAGACTACCTTGGGAGCCATCGCACCCCTCCGGCCCCCTGCCACCACCAGCCTCACATCCCCTGAGCAGGGCTCAGAGGCACAGTCCAGCCAGATCTGCCCCCCAGCCCAGCACCATCTCTGCTGTCTCCTTCCCCTGGAGAGGCAGGATCTGGCTCTACATGCCCAGCTTGCAGCACTTTGGCTTCTCCTGAGCCTCTCCCCATCTGCTGCTGGCCATGTCCCTGCCTCCTAACATCCTTCTTGCCCTGGGTGATGGCTGCACTTCCCGTGCCTTCCTCCTGCCCTGTGCAGGAGCATCTGCCCAGCCTGTCTCAGCCTCACACAGTCACTGGGCTCAGCCCCACGAGGCATCAGGCTCTCTCCCTCGGGGCTCAGAGCACAGTCCTACCTCTGAAAGCAGATGCCCTGCCATCATACTGGGAACCAAACCACGTTGCTGCCTTAAACCACTGCAGTGGCCTCTTACCAAGAGCTGGATCATGCCTTGGCAGGTGGGAAGGGACCTGTCCCCTCTGCACAGGGAGCACCCCCAAGTCCAGGGACCAATGCTTGGACCATGCCTTCCTTGCTCTCAGGTTCAGGTTTTACTCACTTTGCAGTCGCCACAATCCAGGAGAGAAATAACTAATTGTTTTTTAAGCTCTACTTTTTGCAGTCTACCCATTCCTCTGAGCACAAGAGCCAGCCATCACCTTTGTCCTGCATCTCACTGCCCCTGTGGTGGAACCAAGGACCTGCAGCCTTGGGGGACAGTTGACTCTGGGCCCCCTTGGACAGGGGAAGGAGACATAGGCGTCACCAAGCTCTTAACTCAGGCTCTGACCAGCAACACTGCAAGTGACAGAGGAGGGTTGAAAAATAAAATGCGGTGATTTTTTAAAAACAGCTATGAGTTCTGCTTTTGGCTGGTCTCTGGGTGTTTGTTTCCCTGGGCAGGGCTGGTACGTGGGTCTTGTGTGTGCCTTGAAAGGGAGATGTATGGGCTCTGTGTCTGACCAGGCACCAGGGTGAGGGTCAGAACAGGGGTCAGTAGAAGGAGGAAGAGCCACGATGCTCTTCAAGGGCTGGCCTGAGCCCTGAAACCCTTGGGCATCCCATACAGCTTTCCCCAAGAGGCTCTTGGGGCTGAAATGGTCCTGAGGCAAGGGACAAAGGGAAGTGACAGTGCTGTCTGTGTTCATGGTGACTCTTGTCCCATCAGGGGGAGTGGAGGGATGACACTGGGTGACACTTCCTACAACCATGAGTGCTGTTTGCCTTGGCCTGGCAGGTTTGCATGATGCTAACCTGGCTCTGCCATGGGGCCTCTCCCACTCCCCAAAAAGAGGAGCTTGAGTTTGCTCCAGCCTCTTTTCAGAGGAGGAAGGAGCCCCAGTGCTTAGCCCAAGTCCTGGGCTAAAGTCCCTGCTTGCAACTAGCTGTGTCCAGGCTCTGCTTGATGGTGAACATCCCTCAGTGGAACAAGTGTGTTTCTAACCATCCATATGATATATCTGCTCAGAGAGGTATGTGGTCCAGCAGATGGTCTGTGCTCGTCCCTCCAGCCAGGGATACATGTCAGATCCCTGAGGGGAGCAGCACCTCCATGTCAGCCACATGCCCAAGTGGAGACACAGGGTCTGCAGCCAAAGGGCTTTCTGGCGTTAACTGCTCGGCTCCTACAGGGAGAGCAGCCAAAGCCAAAACATACTTCTTGAAGGGCCAAGCTGTATCCACAGCAGGCTTGCTTCTGCCTAAGCTGCAACAGGCAGAGGATAATGTCTCCAACCATATGTAAGTACAGCTAAAAAGCTGCACGAGAGCTCTGAAATCCAACCATATGTAAGTACAGCTAAAAAGCTGCACGAGAGCTCTGAAATAATTTATAGGTCAGCGGAAAGTGGTAAAACATGCTCAAACTTGTGTCTGTTCCCTGGGCATTATTAGATCTCTTGTTAATGTGTAATTAAAAGAATAGATAAGCCCATGAAAAAAAACAGATGTCACTCCTGTTGGGAGTGGGAAGAAGCCACAAGGACACATCTCTGCTCTCTGCTTTTCTTAAGCTCCTTAACTCAAGCTGCTCTTGCTCTACACCCAAAACTGCTTTGAGCACTTTCAGAAAGGCACCTGCAGCAGCCTGGGCTCTGTTTGGGTCCAAGGTGCCTCTGGCACGCTTGGGAGCATGGTGATGCTTGTAGCATGGCGTGCCACAGCGCCCTAAAACTGCTCTTCCCCTGCACGTCGCAGCCATGCTCTTGCTGTTGACCCTTCCTGCGTTTGCAGTGCGTGGGGGTCCCAGCAGGGCAGGGGGCTCCGTGGCCGGCGATGCCAGGGCAGCAGCCACCCGAAGCCAAAGTTGGGACCACGGTGGGAAAGCCTCAGTGGTTTTGTCACTCCTTTTTTCCTGCCCTCAGCCATACCAGAGGGGCAATGGAGCAGCGGGAACCTCTGAAGTGCTATTGCCATCTCGTTCCAGCTCTCCCCCTGCCCTGGGGAGCAGGACGTGGTGCACCTCGTTGCTTTTGGCCAGAGGAAGAGGGTTGCTCTGGGCTTGGAGGATCAGCAAGTTGGCTGGCGCCATCCTCAAGTCAGATTTGCCCCCAAGCTCATAGCAGTGGATTCCCTCTTCAGATCGACATGGATTTATGCCAGCTGACAGTTTAGCTCAGTGGGGTTTCTAGACTGTAGCTGGAATCTCCCCCGGAGGATTCAAGTCATCTTAACAGCTCATGTTGCTCTGGTGTCGGGAGATGGTTGCTGCAGCCGGTGCCTGCCTGCACTCCCACAACCCTCAGTAACTCCCCAGCCTGCCCTGGTCCTGCCGGGGACCAGAGGGGTCACAGCCAGGCTGCAGCCAGCACGTCCTTCTGCTGCCAAGGGTGGCTCTGGCCAGCCCTGCCTCCATTTCCCATCACTGCGACAGGAAGGAAAAACCTCATTGCCAGGACTCAGAGCCAGACTCATCCCTGTTTGTGAAGAGCTGCAAGTGTTAATTGCTCTCCAGCAATGAGTCACACCTGGTCTGGGCTTGTCCCTGCTCCCTGTGCACTCGTAGCCTTCTCCCTGCTGTGCCTCTAATTTCAGGGCTAGCTGGGAAAAGGAATAAAGCTCCTATAATAACTGCACGTGGCCAAAATGTCAGTGCTCCAGCATGCTTGCAACCTCCCTTCAAACGACAATCAGACCGAAGACGTTGTGTGGGGCTGCAGCAGAGCCCGAGGAGGGGCTGGGGAGGCATGGGAGAATGGGGGTCTCCTCTGAGGCACAAACAGACCCAGCAAGCAGGCTTGGCTCACTGCTCCTTGCCCAAAGGCTGGTGGAGGCTGGTGAACTGGCCGCTGAACTGGCCGCCTACGGAGAGAGGAGCGAGCAGGGTGCACGTGCAATGGGTTAACACCTGCCAGCCCACGCCGGCGGCAGGCAGGCGAGCTGATCCAGCGGGGTTAGGTGTGCCCCAAGTACTGCCCTGATTGAAAAATGCCAGCATAGGAGATAAGCTGCTAAGTCGATTATTTTTTTTCTGGCTTTTCTTAACATGTTATCTGAGCATCTGATAAACCTTGTCATGCCAATCCAGCATGGGGGCTGCCTGTCGTGCCGGGAGCAGCAGTGTAGGAAAATCTCTGCCGCTGCCCAGAAACACGGGCCATCTCCCCCACGCTGTGAATTAACCCCAAGTGCCAGTGCCCCCACTTCTCCCGGGGGGTGCAAGCCCGGGCGAGGGACCACTGTGTGTGGACACGCTGGGACCCGGCCCTG